TTGAGTTCCCATATCACAACCTTGTTGGCATCCTGGTTCCTTATTTTGTCTGTTTGGGAGGTCATAGTTCCCTGTTTGCTTATGTTTCCTGTGGATATACATTTATGTCTTTGCATCAAAGCATTAGTTATTTACTCTTGTCTTCTCTGTATGGCTTTTTTTTTTGGATACGTTTGTTAGAGATTTTTTTTTGCTATCGACCTACTGATTTCCCAGCCCATCCCCCCCCACCCCCAAGTCACTGCCTCTTTTCTGGCACTAGATGGTGTCTTAAGCCCAGGTTTGCCACCCACCCAAATGGGGGCAGAGAGGTACCCAAAGGGGTATCTTGGTAGTGTGGGAAGGCTGGCCAGGGGTTCATGCCCAGGGAGCCTGTGGAATGAACCTTATATACCCTGATGCTGCTGAGAAGCCACTCTGATTTGGTATTTCCTTTGGCTGAGTTACAGAGCTGCCAAGGCTTGCCTCCTGCCTTTGTCTCTGGATGACCTCAGGGACATTTTTCCCTTCAAGCACTCTTGATGCTTCCCACGGGTTGAGGCAGGAACAGGTCTCCTGACAGAGAACTCAAGATGGTGGGGAAGGTGGTTGTTAACCTTGATCTCTTTTTCCAGTGTAGAAACTCTGAGCTGGGGGGTGAAATTCTGGGGGGAAGGGCACTGTGGACATGGAGGTCCAATTCTCTGACTACGTGGTCTTTTAACTTCTCTATGGTTCTAGGAACTATATCTTCTTTATATTTAATTCTAGAATATTGCTGGTGATAATTTCAGCACTATATGTTGTCTTTTTTTGTGTGTGAGAGTTAGGGGGGTGGGGAGTAAAGCAAGCTTGCTTCTGTGCTACCATTTTGGAACCAGAAGTCTTGGTGGTTCCCACATTTGTGCAACAGAATCACTTGGGGAATTGGGAAAAAAGTTATATCCCTGGTCCTACACTGTCATTGTGAAGCAGAATTTCCCCAGAATGTATACTTTCTCCCATCAAACTCTGGAAACAGCATTTCTCCCATCAAATCCATGGGAATACCTTTAGAATCCCCTCCTTTCAGATCCACCCTTACCTGGAGGGATCCAGGTTGGGGCCAATAGTGGGATGAGAAATTCCAGCTCTTGTCGGCTGAATGTAATTGTGTCCATGGCAAAGGGCCTGGGTACCTGGCCCATTAAGCTGTCCTCTGGAGTTCCCCACAACAATAAAATTTCGTCAGAGTGTTGTCTAAGACTTCCCCACATCTTGGTTTTTATTTTTATTGCACAGAAAGCAGTAAGAAGGGAAATAACTTTTAAAAGGGAAAAATCACCACAATGCCAACATCTGGACATTAACCACTTCACTTTTTAATTTTCTCTCAGAGGCTTTTGTAATTATTCCATTCAATGGCATTATTATTTCATTTATATTAAGGATCAAATATACTTTTTGTGAATGAGCCTAGGACTCTAGCTCTCTTCCCTTTTATTAAAAAGAAAATATACTCCAAGTTCTACACTAATTAAAAATAGAGTTTTGTAGGGCTTAAGGCTTAGAAGACCTGGGTTTGAACTGGAGTCCATAATTTACTACCTGGGCAAACTTTCAAACTCCTCTGTGCTTCAGCTTACCTCTAAAGCAAGGGTCACATTTAAGAAATGTCTGAAACATAATATACACTTAATAAATGTTAGTTTCTTTCTCTTTGTCTTTGTTGACATCTCTAAGTTTGTTAACACCTTTTTATACTTGTAAGTTAAATTTTGTTTTCTTTTCATAATGGACTTCCTACCAAAGTTTCTTTTCTAAGGGACACTGTCTGATACTGAATATTTAAATGATTTCAAGTCTAGTTTCCAGCTAAGGTGTTTCAACTTAAAATACATTTTAAAGTTTTATTTTTCCAAGCTGTATCAATTATAAATACATGAAAATCTCCAGGTATGTGTACACCATATTGATCAGAGTTTTACATTAATGAAGATGCAAGTTACTGGTGCATTCTAGGAGAGGCCAAGTTTTCCTGCTCCCCTTTTATTGTGGAGAGTGGGGAAGGAGGAAGTGGTTAAGGAGTGGCCTACTTTCCTTCCCAAGGGAGTGTGGCAGAGGCTATTCTTGTCTCCTACAACCTTTCAGTCCACCACCTGTAATTTAACTCTATCTGATCTCCTAAGTGAAGCATGTGGCTATCCATTATACAGATGTTTCCCAGCCTCTCTGGAGCTAGGAGTGGCCATGTGACTACGTTCTGGTCAAAACATAAGTGTAAATGATGTGCACCTTCCCAGTTCTTATCCTTTTCCTCTTCCCTTTGGCGGCAACACAGATGTGTAGAATTATACTATTTTAGTTTTTTATATGAGAAAAAAAGAACTGCTAACTTGTTTCAGCCATTATTTTGGGCAGCAGCCAAACTTACATCCTAGTGAATATAGAGAGATAGTGAACATGGTCTGAGGCACTGAGGTTAAGGAATTTTCTGATACGGATAAAAAAGAAAGTACAATAGGAAGAAATGTTCGGTGTAGGCCAAGGAAATCTATACTACTTCCTCAGTCCTCCTACACATAAAACTTGGAACCATGAATGCGAAGATAGTGAAACTGAAATCTGACTACATAATTCTAAGAATGTACTAGTAGTATCACGGGCCCAATGTACAGAAGTAGATCTGCTTTGTAAGCATATAATTCATCCATTTCATATGCAACTCAGATAATATTCTCAGGATACATGCAAAAGGAACAAGAGTGGTGTCAATTTTTCTAAGTAAGATGTCTATCACATTTTAGATAGATATTTAGTTAAGGACTTTTGTAGGAAACTGATTAAAAGCCAAAAGGGTTCTAGAGCATGTGATGAGGGAATACCACCATTAATTCTACAACCTAAGTCACACCCATTTTCAGGTTTCTTCAGTCTCTTAATTTGAATTTAGTAAATGGGCCAATCAATGATTAATGTAATCATTCCAGTAATAACTAAAGAAGAGGTATCCACAAATAGAAACAGGCAATAAGTCTGAAAAGTAACTGCATTTTGTAAGTTACTGTTGCTTTTCAGAGGATAAATATCCAGCATTTACTCAGTAATTTCTGGTGCTTTCAAAGCAATAATCCTGCTGCTATATGGCACTGATAAGATATCATTAACCATTAAATTAAAGGAAAAGGAATGCCTTTCATGACTTGGAAATTTGAAAGTACCATGACACTCAAATAGAGTTAAATAGCCATTCATTTCTCAAAAAAGCTTCATTGAAAAGTGGACGTATATATTTTGGAAGACTCAAGTTATGCATAACACAGATGCTACGGATTTAAAGGCTGCCTAAAGTAACTGATGGGCAGGTCATTTAAACTGAAGTTCTGTTTTGGTGGAACTGCATGGCAGGGGGTGTTGGAACCTCCAAGATCAGTGTCTAGTCATGGATGGAAAAGGAGCATAGGGCCTGGTGTTAAGTGTTATATCATCTGCCAATGCAAATATTATTTCTATGTGCATCACCATATCAGGAAGGACCACTGACAACATCTGTGTAAGATAGTGTCAAACAGTTTTACAAAGACTTATCTTCACTGTTACTGAAAATACTGTTTTGCAAATTGTTCTGTGGCATAACAACCAACCGAGTCTTTCCCGGGATTTTGAGCAAACAGAAAGCAGCTGCAACTTAAAAAAATAAAGAAAAGAAAAACAACAGAAGACTTAAAATTCCTCTCAAAGGAATTACAAAAACTACTCAAGTGGGGGAAAAGGCTTAAGAAGTAAAGCGTACGTATTTTAGGATTTCATTTATGTAAAACTGTAGAAAATGCAAACTAATCTATATTATTAGAAAGCAGAACAGTGGTCGTCTGGGGACTGGGGTGAGAGGAGGGCTCAACTGCAAGGGGCAAGAGGGTACTTTTGGGGGTGGTAGAAATACTGAGGATGTTGACTGCTGGTGTGGTTTCCCAAGTGAATATATAAGTCAAAACTCTGTGAGCAGCACACTTTTACTTAAATGCTCACCAAATTCTGAGGTGATTTAGCTTTCACATTGACTTATTTGGCAGGTAGGATATCTGCATTTTAAAAAATTGGATGCAGTTTATCATACATGAATTATACCCCAATTTGAAACCATGCAGATCTCCCACCTGCCAAATAAGTCAATGTGAAAGCTAAATCACCTCAGAATTTGGAGAGCATTTAAAATTACAGCACGGCAAAGTTGTTTAGATCATAGACTTGGGTTTTAAAAGACACAGGGGTGTGTCTCAGTGTTGGCTTTGTTGCTATCTATAGAGCGGTCAGAAAGCCCCTGCATCTTCTAGTTATGTTATCTCGTTCTCTTCCTTTGTTTGCCATTCAATCTAAGATTTTTCCTATGCTTTCTTTGCATCATGGACTAACAGTGGCCATGGCGTCCCCATGCATGAGATTCTGCCTGAAACAGATGATGATGGAAAAGCAGACTTAGGCACAAGTCTTAACCTTTAGGAGCCTATTTTCCCATCTGTAAGATGGGAATACTATCTAACTACTGTGACTGAAATGGACATGTAACTTGGTATTGGTAATAGCAGTGCAGTTTATAATATATGATAAACAAATATTTATTAAAAGAATGAGCAAATGAATGGATGGATTTACTTAAATGAAGGTAGAGTTTATAAGAATGTGTGCATATGTTTAGGTTGGAAAGCCAGCAGGTTGATAAAGGAATGAAATACCTAATTTAACTTAGAAATACTCTAAGAAAACAGCTTTCTGATGAGAAGAATCACTTAGCAATATATGACGTGTTGTGCTTCATACAAATTAGGACTCACGAAATTGTGAAGAGCTCCATTTAACACAAAACGTTGAAATGCAAGAGATGATGTGTTAACCGGCCAATTACCCAGCCTCTTAAAAACCCTGATTGTCGTACAGAAGTGCCATTTCAGTTTTGACTAGATTCTGTGTAAGGTAAACGCGGTGCTACAGCAGAACACCTCACAGCTCATTTGCTGATACAAGTCATTCACCACTTTTACGTACCAGTTTAGAATAGTAATCTGAATTTTATTAAAAACAAAAATAAATCTAAAAAGCTTCCTTCAATTACAAGTATGGACAAGAATTTCTGCATTACATCATTTGACATAAAATGTTCTGAATGACAGAAGTAGAAGGAGAACTTACTACCATTTGAAGACAGGAGTTGAGCGCTGAAAACCACACACATTTATAGAAAGAAACCAAAGTTTCACAGGGAAGACCTGTGATCTCTGGCTACAGGAGCTGAAATTAGGAACATGAAAGAAACTTGAAGAGAGAAGACATTCAATACTCTAAAATACTTCAGCAAAAATAGTCAAACATTTGTAAACAACTTTTAACAAATCTTTATACGCTGTGTTGCTATACGGTAAATATTCTTAACTGATTATTATTCAACTCAAAAAAGTGATTTTTATTGCTCATGAATACTTCCCACTAGATTAGATAAAAGCTTTCTTTCTTTCCCTGGAGGCAAGAGTAAAATGTAATTAGGGCTTACTCAGTGATTGTTTTTGAATTTCTTAGACTGGAGCATTCCAGCCACTTGCTTGGCTGTTTGCGATTTCCACCCAAAAAAGGAAGGTCAAAATAAATTGTAAAACCAGAGCAAATAAGTTTGGCTCCTTGTTAACATTTTTATTTGCAGGTTTGATGGATAAGGACACTGATGAAACTGGCTGTGGATTTTAATTATCCCCGGTATTTTTTTCTCCCATCTCCAGGGATCATCAGGACTTAAAAGCATGAAATTGACAACACAACTACTTAAAAACAGAGTAAGGCTGAACTGTACTCAATTGTTCAGGGCAACTACAGTACTGAAAATCCCAAGGAACTTACTGTAAACAAACAAGCAACTGTTCAACAGCCTCTTGCATTTGGTACCATGACTAAATCTACTATTTTCTTCCATTTAGCTATTTGGATATTTTTATGAAATGACTACAAGTAAAAACTGTAATAAAATTTCCCTTTAAGTGTGCTACGATACAGCAAAACACATCAATGACTAGAAATAAAATCTGAAATCTTGAATGCTAAATCCTAATGGCAACATCAAGCCTTAGCATTCACGCTTGGATATCTCGTGCTCTGAGATAAAAGGCCTCTTTAAAGTGACTAGGTCCCTTTCAGTGGAGTGACAGATGTACATACAAGCAACAATGCTATGGAGGAGTCATGCTTTATCCTAGTCTACAGTTATTTTCTCTGCCGATTTTATTTTACTATTACTATGCTGAACCCAATATCTGTTTCAGCTAGGTAATCAAATTATTTGGGAACAATAACACTCCTTTTATTTAAATTAAATGATAGAAGACATTTATTTCTGGGAAGCTTTCTAAAATAGCTTTTGAAGAAGCTAAAAATAACAGTTTAGTATAAACTGTCCTTCACCTGTATTGTTTGTATACACAAGGAATTCATTATAAAACTCAGTGGTAGGAGGAAAAAATAATGGAAGAAAAAGTTACCTGCTTTAGCATTTTAAAGAATAGTTTTGATAACTTCTTAGATCTTGCTTATCTGAAATAGAGCAAAAACTGCAATACGGTCATGACAGAATTCTAATAATCACAGCAATTAATGCCTTCATTTTGAACTTTTTCTTCCTAAAACATTAATGCTATAAAAATCAGATTGATGACATCCTTGTTTGAAAGACACCTTGTATTGGTATCAAAATGTGACTTATTTTAACACCAACTGAAAAAATATAGTTTGCATAGTCTATTATTTCAATGTCATATTATTATTAAAGTTATTCTGAAGGTTTTGGTAGCAAAATTACTGGTAACAATATAAATACTCTGTAAGTGTTGAAATTATTTTAAAAGTGTTGAAAGGCAGCAGGCATTCTATGGGATTGTAAGGAAAATCAAATATTTCAATATCCAGGATAGTTAGGATACTTGTTGAATTTATATTTACTTTTTTAACTTCCTTCTGATTTGCCTGGTTTATTCCTCATTTGGTATCATAAAAAGAAATTTAAGCCCAAGCCTTTTTTAGCTGGAGCAATAATTTCCATTTTCCATTATTTTTCTTCATTTTTTTTTTCAAATACATGAGAAAACAATCCAAGAATCATTGCAGGAAGAAATGATCATTTAAGCTCAATCATGTTCTTTTGCCTTTTAATTTCATTTAAGAGATTAATATTAGTCATAAAAGCTTTACAGTTTCAACACACATACACACAATCACAGAATTAAAAATCTTTACTCCTTAAAAAAAAAATGAGTTCCATTTTGTTCAATGTATCACAATCAAATCTTAGTCTAACAAAATCCGGTAAAACTGCTTTCATTAAATAGAGCAGCTGCCACTTACCTTTACATATTTTACGGATGGAACTGAGTTCAGTACTGATCCAAGGATGCTGACATCAAAGCCCTTACACTGAACTACCCCTAAAGATTCTGTATTTCCATAATATACCACCAATCACTCTAAATTTATAATACCCTGTCTTTAACTTGGTATATACCATCTTTTGGGAAAAAAATTATTAGTATTTTGAGATGAGATATAAGAATAAAGTCATTCTTGAGGTTCCACCTCTAATATGAAAAAATGGACGATGTTTGCACATAGCAGCTAGTTTGATACCTCCTGTTCTGTTAGGCTAGCCTTCACACAATGAGCATGCATATACAGCCACAGTTCACTGCATCTGTTTTGAAGTTGCAAAGTGCTGCTCATTCAAGTCACAGATGCTACCATGTTATGCAATGAAACAGTAAAATTGTATGTCCACCATGAGAAAAGGAAAATAAACAATGAAACAAATGCAGCAAATATAGGCAGTTGGCATTCAGAACACGCCAAAAAGCTAACACTCATGAATTGTCATTTTAAGGTTTTCCTTTCCTTAAAAAAAAAGTCTTTCTTTGCATATTTCAAAATGTAACGGTCCCAGAGAATCATGAAGTGCCTTGTCGTTTCTGCTGCTGACTTCTGATGACCTCTAGTTGTTTTTTGCATTGCTGGTAGTAAGTAGAAAGGCTTTTGTTTTCATCTAAAAGCTTTTTATGTTCCTGTACCAGGCGAGATGTATTTTGCTGGTCCTTTTCATCCTGGTCCAGTTCTGCAACTAGTTCTTGCCTACAAACAAATACCACATAATATTACACATGATGGAAAAATTCGTACCTTACTAGCTGATGATGGAAGCTCAATTAATGAGAATTTTTATTCTGGGTTTATCATTTTGCATCTTAGGTACACTGCTCAAGCATAATTATGGACTGGGGTAGAACTCTCATCTATTTCTAGTGTAATCATACAAATACCATAATCCTTTTATTAAGTAACTGTACTTGGATAAATAGTGAAGCAGATAAAATGGTAAAATAAAAGTTTCAGAAAATTTCATTTTCTATCCTCTTTTTGTATAGGAAGGATGAAAAAAGGCTGGGAAAGGTTCTATCTGGCTATGGGAAAATATCATGAAGTTTTTATCATTCACATTCTACTTTTATACTCATTCGCATTCTGAAGTCACAATCCTACTTAACTATAGTAGAAAGTGGTAAGCTAACAGAAAATTTGCAAGCTAATTAAAATAAATGCTATGGAATTTAAAGCTTTTTCCCATTTTAAAGCAGTGAGAAAAATTACAAAGTACCACTTCTTTTAAAATACTTACATTTGCAAGCATTTTCAGGAAAGACTCTCATTCTTTTATAGTCTGATAAACTTATTTAAGTCCCTTTTATTCGGGAACTATTAAGTATTCCCAAAAAAGATGGATCTTTAGGCATTTCCTAAAGTGAGGTTACTGGATATAAATGAATAATTAATAAAAGGTCCTTAAGCAAAATAATTACCTAATACTATTTCTGAAAGTATTTAAAATTAATTAAAACTGTCACAGTTTTCACAGCCAACAGCCTACTCTACCATTTGTTTTTTCCAGCATAGAATTCTTCTTTCAAATGATTAAAGTATGGCAAAAGTATAGGTTAAATACGTGAAATAAGAAATCAAGCTTTTTCAACATAAAGTGCCAGCAGTTCCATAATTACTTCTACGATTTCCAGACTGTAGTATTTAATTTCCTATTTAGGCTTACCTTTCAAATACTAGGTTGGTTCAATTTAAATCACTGTATCAATAAATTGTGATAAAACAATCTATTCTCTCTTTGTTTTTGAAGCACATACAGAAAGCTTTTCACAAATTCAGAAAAAAACCTTTCATTTATTTAGATTAAAATTAATGAAGGGAATCCTATTATCATACATACATAAAGTTGCCAAAATTTTTTCCTTAACACTTCATTTTAGTTACCACTAATAATTCAGTTTCCTAAGTATAAAACTTCCTGAAGGTCATGCTTAAGAAAACTGAAGATACATACATATTTAAGAACTGTGAATGTAGTAGTAAGGAAATTAGACTGGATTTCTTTAAAAAGGGAGGAAGGCAGTTTCTATAACACCTTAGAAAAACACTCAGTTATGAAATACAGTCTTTTAATAAGTAATCCAATCCTATACATACACTTGGAAAAAGTGTATCTACAAAAATGTTTTTAAGATAAGGCACAACTGAATGTTAGTAAATCAAATTATTTTATCTATGTACAAGAAAACAGTAAGTCTTTATAACAATAAATCTAAACAGCTCTGAGAACATAAAACAATGGGTATAGAGCACCAGTTTATTTTCCATAGCACTAATATGATATAGTCAAAAGGATTGAGTTTTGCATAAAAAATTTTTAGTATAAGGGTGCTTAAAGCTTAAACAAGTTGAAAGTATACTTAATGACTAATTCTAAAAACTACGTTTTCATTGTACCTTATCATATTTTAAACTCAAAATACTAATGTATTTTTATTCATAAAAAATAACTTACTTTCTCTGTAATAACAATGCAATTTCTGTTTGAACTTTCATATATTCTTGTGCCATTTTACAATGCTGTTCAAACACTGCCATAGATTCTTTGGAGTTTGGGCACGGTGCTAGAGGCTGAAAATAATCAGGAATGTTAAAACATAATTACATCAAATTTCAATATCTAGCTGAGAGTTAACACAGACTGTGATATATTTTTATAGCACTAAAGCAATGATCTTTTAAAAATAACTGTTAAACCATGCCCTAGAAAATCTCAGGGTCCTTTTGTCAGAGTTAACTCAGAATTTAAATTTACTCTTGCTGTTTTAACAGTTTGTTACAGAGAACCATGATTGTTGGAGTTGTAGTCTCTGGTATGACATTTCAGGTTGCAAACAGGATCAAATTAAAAGATGTTTATAGACCTCATACTCATGAGGAGGCACTGAAGTATATTATTTACATTTTCAGTCACTACGAACACGAGAATGTATCACAAATGTATTAGATAGAAATAAACCTATGAGTTTTGTTTTAACGCACTAAAATTAAACAGTGAAAATGTAACGCTTAGCAGTACTAAGGAAAGATACTGGAGGATTTTAAGATGACTGAAAAGAATATGAGTCTGCCAATTTAATGTTTAATTAACTTAACCAAAAAAATTGTTTATTTTGATTTGATTCTAAAAAGTTTAAGGAGGCCAACTAAAAGGATAAATTAAGGACTATAGAATGATGGGTGGCAACACAATTATCAGCTTTAAACTCTCTAAGAAGAAAAAAGTCAGCTTCCAATGAGAAAGTACTCCTTTACCTGTAGCTGGTGATCCAGTGTAAGATAAGCCATTGGGATGGAGTTATCTGATCCATTGGTATCTGGAATCAAGCAGGTATTTTATTCATTTTCTGTCACAAATAGTTATAAATAAACAGCAAGAAAGCATGAATGAAATGTTTTTTTTTCCCTAAAGTAAATATTATGTAAATTAAAAGTTATGGCTATTGGTAATGGAAGAGTCTGTTTCTGAATTCTAAAGGTTAAAAAAAGGATATTCAATTATCAGATACTAGAATGCAATCATATTCTCATATCTATAATTTAAGTTGACTATAAACTGAATAGAACACAATATATCAGAGCTTCTAAGCTCTGAGTTAATTAAAAACAAAAACAGTGATATGAGACCTTTATATTTTAAATTCAGTCTTAATTGACCCTATCTAATCAAACCCCACATCTCTTTTCTTTATCATGCTAAGTTTATTTTATAGAAGGCTATGTCAACTCTGTTAATATCCATGTTCCTTAACAGGGAAAGGGAGAAAGCAGAGATACATTCTCTTCCAGAGGATCACTTTCAATTTATATAGGTTATAATGTGACCCCCATCACTCATCTCACCCTTCCTAGTAAGAATCACTGCAGAAAATGAGATGTTGGTGATGAGAGTGTATTACAAATATGAACAGTAAGGGACCAAAAAGAGGATGAAACCTGTGGCTCAATGTCATGCCGAAAACAGGTAAGTTGATTAATTCAAACAACCAGTCAATTTTATAAAATTATTTGAATAGAATGCTTTTGTTTATATTTCAAAAGAGGTAAAACTGCCATACAACTTGACTGAGATGCATGGGATAGTCTCTTCTCAACATTAATGGTTACGTAGAACAGTTCCAGAAGTAAGCAGAATAACTCTGAAGTAATATAGAATTTTCTACTTCAGAAGTAGTTGCTTTCCCACTGTAAAAAATGAGCTAAATGAGTGAGCTGTTCAGCCTTTTTCTGACGAATAACTCCTTGAAGGAGTGGTGTGGATAAAGGCAAGTCAGGATGACAGCAGATGCACTGTATGCAATCCAAAAAAACTCAAGATGGGTTGCTGGCTCAGTAATCTTCCAATTTATCGTTAGCTGATATTCCAGTTTTTTTTTTTTTTTGCTTTTGTTTTTTTTTTTAAAGCCACTGAGAATGTGCTTGCAAGAAACTCCAAAAGCTAATTAGCAAAATCAGACCAAATAAGATAATACCTGTGAGGAACACCATGCAATGCTGGCGTATATTAAGCACTCAACACATGACGGTAGTTATCATTATCATTCATATTAAATGGAGAATTAGAAAGAAAGAACAATTTAAAACAGTATAGTATGAATTGCATATTGAAAAATAATGTTTATTAAATATTGGAGGGCAATACAGAAAAACAGTAGAGACTTAAGGCACTTATCATTAAAGCTCATACACAGTACTAACATAAATGTGTGTTTTTCTGAAGTGGCTCAACAAGAAATACACTTAATTTGTTATTTCTCTGACCAACTCTCCTCCCACCCCAACAGTAGTTTCAAATTATGCTCCCACATAAATACTGCTTTCCACAAAACTAAAACTGATTTAAAATGACTGATTTCCTCCTGATTTACTAGAAAAATTTAAGTGTCTTGAAAAAGTTTCCTCAATTTAAGATTTCCATTCCTATTATTCTTTCTTAGATCACTGATACATTATATATCTCATTATATCAGCACCCTGTACCTGATATGTATTTTAGAATTAAGTATAATGCATCAATGTTGCATGGTATTCTGAGAGTGGAAAAAAAGTCCAAGGATTGTGTTATTCAAATAATTAAAATCCTTCTATAGTGGGGAACTTAAGGTCCTTCACTGAATTTCATCTTCTCTCTGAAACAAGTGGGATTTCACTTTCTCACTTTCAAACTAAATTGAAATTGAACTTCCAGTCCCTACTAGCAATAATTGGTCAAAGATTGGAAGATTATTTAATGAAAGGGGTGTGTGTGTGTGTGTGTGTGTGTGTGTTTCAATTGCTAATCAAATCTAATTGCTTCTCCTGAATGTCAAGGCACATGTCGGTTTGGTTAAATTAGGCAAACTCTCTTTTCTGACCCTTCAAACACAACACTTGTTACTATCTCATATTCTTTGAGTATGCATTCCCTTCAGTGGAATGTTGCCTTCTCCTTTCTGCTTTATGACTAAAGAACAAGTCTCATCATTTTATGAAAAGGTCAGAGACCATGCCAGGTCTTGTTTAATTGATTTCTCTTATAACTATCGAAACACTCAGCTTGTACTATAAATTTAGTAAGTTATAAGTTATTATATAGTATAAGTTTATTTTTAATGTGTCAGTATTATGACTGTAACCAGACTGCAAGGAATGGGGCCATGCCTTATACTTTATATTAATACATCTTCGCAAAGTACTAAGCACAGGTGAAAATTCTTTAGTGAGTTTCCCCCTCTGCGGCTCCCTCTATTGTGCGTCTAGATATCTCTCTCACTAGATCCTCTCAGTATATGTATCTTTTTAAACACCCATTATATTATAAATAGGAACTGAAGAACACTCATTATTGGCTAGGATTATTAAATTGTTTTGCTCTTTAGCTTTCTCTGAAAATATACAAAAACCTCTCAAATTAAAAAAATTTAATTAGGTTGTTTTAACTTAGGTTTACACTCTTAATTTTTTCCTTGGTCAGTGGGCCTGCAAAGAAAGACTTTACCTATCTGTTCCCTAGTTTAGGGTTCCCAATCTATTAGTTTGGCTATCAATATTTTTCTTAGAAATACTGCAAAGCTGAATTAATTATAAACTTAAACCAGAGCATCCATTTTCAAAATGTATTCGAAATTAGAGCCACACATTTGCAATATATTTCAAGGCAAAGACAAAATTCAACTGATATTGCAAATTATCTCTAGCAATTGGTATTTTGTGGTGTTTCTAGGTACAAAAAAGAAACAGTGGAACAGGAGTTGGAAGGTAGAAGCAACACATGGAGCAGAAATGCAGCAGTTATGTGAGACAGAGGCTTAAACATTTTTTATTTTACCCCCATGAAGTCACAATCTGCCACACTGTTGACTGGCATATATAGATTAGTATAGACTGAAGACAGGAGGCTCTGCTGAGTTGAGTACCAGACCTGGGCAAATGCTGTAATGTCAGGGAGCGTACTCCCTTGCCAAAGGGTTCAGAAATCAAAAAGAGCTGCTGTCACCTGAATGTTAATGATAAAATTGGGTAAGAGCATTTCCCTGTCTACCACTGGGGAGGAGCAAGTCTATAATGAATTCTATACATGTGCTGCGTAGTGGTGAATGCTCTGGACAGTCCTAGGTTGGGCTGTGCTAGGGGTGAAACAGGAGTTTTTGCCACCACTAAATTTAAACTTCCTAAAACTGGAGAGTACACCCTGGCTAAACATAGTTCTATCTTACATGACACAGAGAAAAACCACCCAGTTAATTTTTTAAATTAAATTATAAACTTGACCAAACCACATCAGATAACTATAAATACTTGAGTTGTATTTTAGTTTGTAAAGACAGAAAGCTGACTTTTAAATTTCAATCTAATTGCTACTATTAATAACATAGTCGATCTTATATATAATACCAAATGCTTTAATTTTCCAAGGGCTTAAGAGATCATCTTTCCCTTCATGACTTAATATAAATAAAAAATTTCATAAGTACACTTAAAAACATTTATCAAGGTATTCTTTTAAAGTTAGGGGGAAAATTAATTCTACTGTGGCACATCATTTCCTGTTTGCCCATAATGAAACAGTGCCATCACTACCTTTAGGCAGGTAGACATTAATACTAATATTGTGACCAGTTAGTTATTCATGTTGGGGAGCTTTAATAACTCTTCACAGGCTTCAAAAGGTCTAATAGAATATTTGTATAACTGAAAATGGGGTCTCTTATCAGTTAAAAATAATTCAAAAGGTCAATGGTCAGAATTTTTTTCACCTTAAGGTACATCTTATGTCCTTAGAACAAAAGACTGAGAGGAAGATGATAAGGATGATTTTTACCATTCTCCGATTTTGGTTACTGAAAAAATAATGACTTTACTACTATCATCTAGTAAGATGTATCTAGTAGGAAAATCACAGGCTGAAGTATCAAGAATTCAATATGCTTTGCAACTGGAAAAAACCCCAGACAGATGATCTTTAAAATACATGTTTAGTATCTGGATTAAAAAAAATACAGAAGGCAAGGCAGTCTCTGTCTCTGTATTCAAAATGGCATTTTAACATGTATTGCTAAATAGTTTATTTCATCTAAAAATCTAAAAAACAGTATAATGCCTGCCTTTGTAAAAATTAGAGTAATGACATGGCCAAATGAAAATGAATATAAACATGATTGATTGAACTTCGTAAGTATGAAGAAACAGACTGGTCACCTGTGGAATCATCAGGGGTCCATGGATGACTTCGCGTTGGCTTTTCTGAGGTTGGTCCTGAGGTAGTAATCATTCTGACACTGGGACTGGATGACCTACTGCTCACCTACAGCAAGAAGTGACAGGAGAAACAAAATGTGATTTTTTGATTAAAAAAAAATGACGAGAACGTTTCCATTAAAAGGCAAAGAAGAGACTTAGAGATCTCCAAAAAACTCTTGTAAACAACAAAATAAATCCTCTCTTATATATATATGTAAAAATTTATATGCACTCACACATGATACCTCTTAAAAACTGATGAACTTGCAAGAAACTAAGAAATACTCTGAGATTAGAAACAAAACAAGATCAGGAAACTAGCAAGTGCCTAAGCTGACAGCCCTGGGAATTTCAACTGAACACCAATGGCCTAGAGCTACTGTTTTCACAGGATGCTGCACTCAGAGGAATGGATCATAAAGCCTTGGGCCTTTGTAGGATGAAGTAAGACTGCAGAAACCTCTGCTTAAAGCTAAAGCTCAGCAAAGGCTTCACTCTCAGAGAAAAGGTCACACAACTAGGGGAAAAAAAATGTGTCCTACAAAAGCGGACAGGAAATAAATTTGTCTCTCTTGGGTTAGTGGCTCTGGGTGGAAGGGAGAAATGTATTAACTGTGAATCCACAAAAAATGTTCAGTTTGAATGCAGGTTACAACAAATTCCAACCACAACAAATCTCAAGCATAAGAAATAGGAAGAAGCTCACAAATTGAGTTCAACATGGAACGTATACATTCAAATTCTAGGAAACAATCAATAGGAGATAGAAAAAGCAGCCAGAAGAAAGTAGAACTGTATCTTCGAAGTACTGAAAGAAAGTAAATGCCAGTCTAGAATTGTCTAGCCAACAAAATTTGAAGAATGAGGCCAAAATAACATTCTTAGATGGGCAAAAACTGAGTTTACCTTCCATACATTTTTACCACAGAAATTTTTCAAGCACGTATTTTTAGAAGAAGAAAAATTTTACTTGATGGAAGGATCAAGACACAATAAGGAATAGAGATAAACAGAAAATAAATCTACACACTGAAAACATTCAGTGATGGAAACAGTGAATTTATAGAAGTATCAAACAAATAAATAAGATGGCACTAAAATTATAAATAACAATAGCAAAAGCATGAAGAGCACTGATTTAAAAATCCTTGTATTGTTCAGGATGAGGGTACAGATCTTTACTAGGTTGGGCATGAATGTTAAAATTTCAAAGGTATTTACAAAAAGTAGTAATATGTAACTCCCAAACCAGAAAGAAAACAATACAATTAAAAATAAATCTATTCAATTCAAAAGAAAGCTGAAAAGAGAAATAAGAGAAAACATAAGAAAGCAAACTTATCAGTAACCATAATAAATGTAAATGAATTAAACTCTCCAGTTAAGATATTTTTTAAAAAATCAGATTGTCAGGATGAATTAAATGCTGTTTATAAGAGATATATCTAATTTACAGAGACAGAGAAAACAGAAAGTTACAGGATAAAAAAAGAAAACCAGGCAAATACTACCCCAAATAAAGTACCTATATTAGTATCAGAGAGAATATATTTTAGGGTGCAAAATATTACTAGAGAAATATGGTAAGTGGTTCAATTCAGAATACAGCGATTCAAAATTTATTTTTAAAAAATTATTATTATTATTTTTTTGTAGACATGGGTCTTACTACGTTGACCAGGCTTCTCTCAACCTCCTGGCCCCAAGTGACCCTCCTGCCTCAGTCTCCCAAAGTGCTGGGATTACAGGCATGAGCCACTGTGCCTAGCCAACGATTCCAAATTTATATGCTGTATGTACAAATTGATAAATCAAAAAAACTGCAAGGAAAAAGGACACATCCACCATCACAGTGAGATTTGTTTTTAAAGACAAGGTCTTGCTCTGTTGCCCAGGCTAGAGTGCAGTGGAACCATCATAGCTCACTATACCCTCAAACTCCTGGGCTCAAGCGATCCTCCCATCTCAGCCTCCTGAGTAGCTGGGACTACAGGAACACACAACTGTGTCCAGCTAATTTTAAAATATTTTGTGGAGTCAGGGTCTTGCTATGTTCCCAGACTGGTCTCGACCTCTTGGCCTCAAGTGATTCTCCCTCCGCAGTTTCCCAAAGCACTGGGATTGCAGGTATAAGCTACTGTGCCTGGCCAACAATTCAAAATTCATATGCTGTACATATAAACAGATAAAGCAAAAGAACTCAAGGATGGATGTACCCTCAAACTCCTGGGCTCAAGTGATCCTCCTGCCTTAGCCTCCCGAGTAGCTGGGACTACAGTTACATGCCATTGCACTTGGCTAATTTTTAAACTTTTTGTAGAGATGGGATCTTGCTATGTTGCCCAGGCTGACCTAATGGCTTCAAGAAATCCTCCCACCTTGGCCTCCCAAAGTGCTGGGATTACAGGTGTGAGCAACTGTGCCCAGCCCCACAGTAAGATATTTTAATATTCTTCTGTAAATTATATAAAAGGAGATCAAAAAATAAAACATACACACACAGTAAAACTTGAACTCCATTAAAAAACAAGCTTAATCTAAACATAAGTGACTTTATGCCTAGCAAATGAAGAATACACATTCTTTTTAAGCATTCATGGGACACTGATGAAAACTGATTATGAAAACTGATTATGTACTAAGCTGTAAAGCAAATCTCAAAAAAGTTAAAAACATTTCAGTATCATAATTTAATTACTTTTTATACTGATTTCAAAACCTTTAAAAATCTTTTGTTTTGAAAAACACTTCTAAATAATTCATTGGTCAAAGAAGAAAACAAAAGGGACATTAGAAAATACTTGAACTGAATTTTAACATGATCATGCTAACACTTGGGGATGTGACTAAAAGAGCACTTAGAGGAAAATATTTAACTCTAAATATATATATGAAAAAACCAGAAACACTGATAATTTATAAGCTAGAGACCTAACTTAGTTAAAAAAAAAAGAATTTGCCTCCCAAAATGAAAAATAGTAAAAGATAGTATTTTGAAATCAGAGACAATACTATAAAAATGAACACATTCTTAAAAAAAAAAGTTTCCAAAATTCCTATACATTATAGAAAATACCAAGCACAGCGGAGGGTTTTACAGGTAAGTTCTATCAAACATTCAAGAAAAGGATTTTCCCAATCTTAAATTATCCTAAACAAAGAAAGAAGAAACTTTCTGACTCATTCTGTGAAGGCAGTAAAAATCAATATATAAGGACAGTGTGAGAAAGAAAGTTACAACTGAACCTCACTTCCAAAAAATAAAAATACAAAAGTAAAAATAAAAAGAGACACAAAAGTCATAATTTCTAAAAACTATATTAGCAAATATAATGTGGCAGTGTACAAGCAATAAAAATCATTAAAAAGTTTGGTTTATCCAACTTTGCAAATGACTGCAAAGGCCACTCATCTGACATTAGGAAATTCCATTAATACAATTCATTACATCAACAGATTAAAGGACAAAACCTCAACAGATGCAGAAAAAGCATTTAACATCTACTTATAAAAAATACATTTAACAAACTTAAATTCTATGTATGAGAAGATAATTTCTTTTTCTTTCTTTCTTTTTTTTTTTTGAGACAGGGTCTTGTTCTGTTGCCCAGGCTGGTGTGCAATGGCACCAACACAGCTCACTGCAGCCCTGACCTCCTGGGCTAAGTAATCCTCCCACCTCAGCCTCCTGAGTAGCTGGAACCACAGGCTCACGGCAACATGCATGGCTAATTTTTTAAAAAAATATATTTGTGTAGAGATGGGGTCTTGCCCATGTTGTGCAGACTGGTCTCGAACTCCTGGGCTCAAGCGATCCTCCTGCTTTGGCCTCCCAAAGTGCTGGGATTACAGGTGTGAGCCCCTGTGCCCAGTGGGAAGAGGATTTCTTAATCAGATAAAAGGTATTTATGATACCTGGAAACATGATATATGACAGAATGTGGCACTGAGGGTTGGTGGGGGAATGACAGGGAAGGCCACAGGTGAGGAACACACAAGGACCAACCCTCACTGGGATTGTTAGTGTTCCATTCCTTAAGCTGGGTGGTGGGTTCACAAGTGTTCATTTTATTATTTTCATAACTTATATATTATATGCATTCTTATCTACATATTAATATTTCATATATTAAAACCTTTCAAATGATACAGAAACTAAAATGGATTTCTTTTTTTTTTTTTTGAGA